TCTCCCATAAATCTAGAGTGACCATGCGCTGCGTACGGCAAGGTAAGCATAAGCACCACCTTAGCGTCGGGCCCCAATTTCCTCCGTCCGTCGTGGTTCTCTCGGTCGAGAGACCAATGCGAACACCAAACACCCGGCCGAGTTGCTCTTACAACTACTTTGAACCGCCTCACCACTTTCGGCTCCGTGGATTATTTGAGCATGTTTGGTCAGCAGACACGCAATCAATCTCACTGCGCCGAATGTGGCTGGCGCAAAGCCTGCCCATTCCTTTCGGACTTGAATCCTTCTCGGCCGATAGATCTTACGGAGAATAACACCACTGAGAAAGAAGCCTTTCTAGCCCTCAGTGAAGCAGTCAATCTCGGCCGGGATGAGAAGGGTGATTCCCAATGATGTCTGGTCTCAATAGCAGACAACTAGTGACTAGTAACGAATGTAGTGTCTAGAGAAATATATAAAGCACATGTGCAAGTCGCGATGAAGATGTGTCTAGCCTTTCATCACCACCACAATCATCATAATCAATATCACCATCATCACATCTCTTCAGCTTCAGAGCTACTCCAGTCTACCTCATAACTTACAATACCACAACCGAATCAAACCAACCAAGACCCAAACCGCTCTTCACCACTCTCCAAAAATGCACATCCTCCTCATCGGCGCAACAGGCCGCAACGGCACCCTCGTCCTATCCGAAGCCCTCTCCCGAAACCACACAATCACAGCCCTCGTCCGCGATCCCACCACAACCTCCCTCCCCTCTCACAAAAATCTCACCCTCACAAAAGGCACCCCTCTCTCCCTCCAAAACCTCCTATCCGCAATGCAAACGCCAACACCACCAGACGCAATAATAATCACCCTCAACCCCCGCCGCCTAACAGACTCCCCCTTCTCAGCCCTCGACCCAAACACGCCCCCCGCCCTCCTCCGCGACTCCGTCTCCAACACCCTACAAGCCATCAAGACCCTGAACCTGCCTCGCAACCCCAAACTCGTCATAAACAGCATGCAAGGCGCCGGCGCGAGCTCCAAGAGCCTCATCTTCCCGCTCCGCGCCCTGTTTAACCACACCAACATGAAGCACACCCTCGACGACCACAACGCCGTGGACGCGCTGTTCAGGGGCAACGACGACGCGGCGGCCAAAGACGTGGATTGGGTCTTGGTCAGACCGCCCATGCTGACCGAGGGCGAGAGCCTTCCCGTCAAGGTGTACGATGACGAGGGTAGCGGGGTGTGCTGGATGCCCAAGATCACGAGACGGAGCGTGGCCGGGTTCATGGTGGATGCGGTCGAAAAGGATGATTGGAATCGCAGTGCTCCTGTAATCACAAACTAAGATCAAGTTGAGTCAATATGCATCGGGTGGATTTAGAGTTCATGTCAGACAAGGGAAGGCTCCTTGATACTTGAAGTAGTACGGAGTAGTAGTAGTAGTGGTAATAAGCATGCTGTGCAATGCCAACTATGCCCTTCTTTTTGGTTTTTTCCTCCGCTGCTTATTGGTATCTTTGGTGTAATGTATTTACAGAGTTTCTCCTCGTGTGCTCTCCCTTGCCCAGTGGGCTTTTTCGCATCTCTTTGGTTCCCCTGCTAGAATGTCTGCATAATCATCGTCTAGCATCGCATCCCTTTCTTACTCAGAGAAGTGCTGCAAGTGAGTAAAAACTGCGGAATTATGACCTGCTCATCCTCGCCGGCAGTCCAGTTGTTCTTGTTGTTGTCGTCGGTTGACATGTGATTGGTCGTACATGTCTAGCAAGGACAAGGGTCGACGGGTCCTCTTGGATCGCCATGATGTCCCCGCAAAGGGGGAGTTTCGTACCGCTGCCGCGGTATTTGTCGTGTATTTGTCAACGCAGAATCCCAGCAAAACAACTCCAAGCCACAAGGTGTTCGTGGCATGGGCGAATTTTGGGGTGTTCCGGTCTCCCTCGATCACATCCTATCCCTATCCTCAACCCCGCATCAGAATATGTTAGGAGGGGCCTGGTATCATCGGGTTCCAGTAGTCCAAGTCCCAGTCCGCGTAATCATCCGGAGTCTGCCGACCACGCATCAGCCCAGTCCCATCCGTCCCACAGCACCCAGCCGCCGTAGTCACTTACCGCAGCCGCCGACGCATTTGCATGAAACATGAACGGAGGCCTCGTCTGCATGTAGGGATCCATCGGATCGGCCGGGTTGGGCAAGGACATCTTCTCGGGGCTAGTATTCGTAGCCGTCTGACAGGCGTCGAGCACGCTTTGAAGGCTGCGTCGAATATCTTGCAGCTTCTGCTCTTGGTTCGTGGACTGCACCGAGGCCAGAACCACGGCGAGCGCGACAATATCCTTGACGTCGTTGCCACCAACATTGCGAACAAGTAGGTTGAGCGTCTTCTCGACCGTCTTGATCAAGCGAGATGGCGACCAGAGCGCAAATGTTTCGGTGCTGAAGGTGACCCCATCATCCATCGGATCCGGGGACATGGCCACGGTAGATGCTATTCCAAATGTATTCCCGTTGATATGGGATTCGGTCGCTGCCTTGATGTAGAAGCACACGCTAAAGGCTGCCTGCAAAATGTCCTTCTTCAGTACCATGTGATACATGTCGCTGACATCCTGGAAATGACTGAGGAGCGGGTCGAGTTCGTCGAGGTATCGCATAATAACCATTGAAGACCGCAAATAAGCCCTCGATATTTGGGATGGAGCATCCGGCAAACCGAGCGCGAATGGGCGGTACAGAGCCAGCAGAGGCCGTCGAACGTGCATGTCGAGGATGACCCTCGACCTCCACTGCTTGCTCTTTTCGACTTCGTTTAGTATACCTTGGCGCGGGAACAGGTAGTTGATATCCTCCAAGAACCGGTCGAGCTTCGTCCCAACTTCGATAATCTCGCTGTAGTCCCGGATCGAATCCACGCGGTTGATGAGGTGCGCAACCTGCATCCGAGCTCCCAACGTCATAGCAGCGTATACTTGCATCTGGTTGTCGGTAAGTTGGTCGATGGGCTTGCTCGGCGGGAGCTCCTTCATGTCGAAGAACAAATCGCTATCGTCAAGGTTTCGGGGAGGTCGGCAGGTGAAGTCTCCATCGCGCACGAGGCAGGACAGGTTACATGCCAGCGAGAGGTGCAGATCCATGTCCAGTATTGTGAACCACAGCCTCCGCCGTAGCTCACCAAAGAACACCGGCACCCGAGGTTCGAATTCCGATGGGTCTCGGTGCATGCCCATAGTCATGGCCATGCGTACGATATAACCTAATTGCGCCCACGAATCCTGTGGCCTCGGCGTGGTCATCCTCTGAGCGTGGACGAGGAGAATCTCGGTCTGCAACGTTGTCAAATCAACCAACTGTTTGCCCTTCAAACCATCGAGCCAGGACCTGACCAGTGCGCACGCTGTGGGGATATGGACTCCCTCCACGCGCTCATGACCGAGTCCCTTTGACTTGGTCTCGAATCTCGAGCCAATAGACAGCACAGTCAGAAGCTGAGGAAGAAATGTGTCCCCCTGTAGTTTCCCTTCCCAGAACAACTCGTGTTGTTCTTTGAAAGTCGGAACATGAATCATTCGGTAAATAGTCTCGGACGTGTCGATGTAAGAAGCCAGTAGCCTGTCACATATCGATTTCTTGGGAAGAATATCCTGCATGCGCTTCTGGACTGGAATAACCGAATCGGCAAAGACGGATATCGGGGACAATGACTTTCGGTACTCCTCTTGGATCCTCTTGTGTAGTATCTGCAGACCGTACATGGTCTCCCGGATACCCTCAATCTTGGACTGGTTCGCCATGAAGTCTTTGGCCTCGTCAAACTGGAAGAGTAGGGTTAGGGGTAAGAGTCTCTGAGTGAAAGGGGTTCGGGAACAGTTACCAAGTTCAACAAAACGCGCACACTGTTCTGGCCAAAAAATCGAGTCCGTAGGGCGCCTCTCTTCACCGTCAGCCCACGAATTGTTTCCGGCGATAGCGGCAAACGCTGACCAGTTCCGCTGAATTCCGTCCCTGCAGGGCTCCTAATCATGAATTGTTTCTCCAAGCGGTCCAATCGTGAAGTGAGTTCCTCCAGAGCAGTGTGACCAGTTGATTCCCCGTTGCGCAAGGGCACAAAAGACGACTCAGCCGTCTGTGGACCTGATGTCGCGGTTGTGGGCAGGCAGTTCCGTTTTGGCGGACGCTGCACCTCGCCCATCTCGGCGTCCGAGCCATCTGAGAGCATTGACGAGTCGTGTTCGGCGGCATACTTGCAGTTGCGATGTGACTTCTGGCATTGCGAGCATGGCAAGTTGCGGTCACATCTCAACTTGCGCTTGCGACATTCGGTGCACGACTTGACGGGCCGCGGCCTCTTGACACTGCGTGATGCCGATGCCGCCGCCGCTGCTGCTGCCGCTGCCGCTGCTGCCGCCGCCGCCGAGGTTGATGCTCCGCCGGCAGCAGGTGGTGGTACAGGGGTTCCCGTAGGTGCAGGCGTGGGTCCCGGCGCGCCGGTAGAGAGAGTATGGGGAGATGGTAGAGTTGGTGATGTTTCGTAGGGAGTTGGGGCTTTGTTAGGTATCGAGCCCATGGGAGCAACAGCAGCAAGGTTCGTGTTGGGATGCAGTGTTGTTGTGACTATGCCCATTTCCGGGGCAGAGGTGGTTGCGGCGGCCATTTGTGCCGTAAGACGCAAAATTTCTAGAAACCCCCCCCGTTCGGCACCGACAACAATTACCAGCGGGAGCGGGAGAGACGGTGAGTAACGAAGCGAGAAAACACAGCACAACGTAGCACAGGCAAGCACACTTGGCGGCACACCACAGCTAAGCGGCAGCAGCAACAATAACGGCAGTGCCTGGCCTCGTGGTCCGAAGCTCGAGGGCGTCTTTCGCTGCGTGCAGACTTTGACGCGCTCACGTAGCGGTTGATTTCTGGCAGTGGGAAGAACAACAAATACAGCTGTATCTGTAGATCAATGCGCTGATCAACGTTGTTCTCATTCACGTTCCCAGGCACGGCTAGTGATGCCTCTGTTCTGGTTCGCGACGCTGGATCTTGAATCTGACTGGTGTCGAGTCATTCGCCGGCCATACATGCTGTGAATGCGGGTGAGGGTGATGGTCGGAGGGGGGGTGCGGCGTAGGCGCAAAGCGAAAACGAGCGACGGGAGTAGAGGCAGAAGCTGCAGCAACGTCGATCTTGTTGTTGGAGATAGAGATCTGGTCTGAGTAGCAGCGTGGGCAGTAACAGCTGTTTGCTCTGCCGTGTCCAACAAAGATGGGGTAGCCGTCTGCCGGGCAGGTCGTAGCCGATGTTACTCAGGAAGCGGCCCTGGATCCGTCGCCAATGGAAGAAGATGAAGCTCCAAGAAGAAGAAGAAGAAGATAGGAGTTCGTGAATGAGAATGGAAGAGAAAGAGAGGAGAAGGGGGTTAGATGGGATTGGGAAAAAAGAGACCAAATTTGGTAGTTGCAATGAATGAATGATCCAAGCTTCCCCGGGGCGTTGGGGGTGTGTGGTGCAGAGCGGTACGGGTGCCGTATGGTCCAGTGCCTCGTCCGAGGCAAGGTAAGGCAAGGCAAGGCAAGGCAAGGTATAGAGTAATGTAGGGACGGAGAGTGAAGACGGCACGGAGAAGGTAATAAGGTGAGGAAAGGTTTGCTTGCTTTGGCAAGGTATCTTCTTCTAGCCCGGCAACCTTGGAGGTGAACCGTGAGACTGGCGCCGTGGCCCTCTCTGTCTCTCAAGTCTGAAGAACCTGCTCTGTCGTTCCTGACCGTCGAATCCCGGGAGAAGCTCGAGACGGGGCTGGTTGTTGACGATTTACTTTGCCTGCCCCTCCCAGAGGATGAGTACCTGGGAGCAACGATATGTTGGTTCTCTTACTGCTGCTGCCGCTTCTCGTTCTCCTCAAAGAAAAGTACAGTCGTGGAGAGATGTCGAGGGGTTGAGGTGAGTTGAGCGTGTCAAAATCGAGGTCAAGGTCGAGGTGCGAGATGTACAGGATCCCCGAAGAGAGAAAAAAGTGTCGAACGTGCAGGGACACAGTGCCCTTGTCAGGCCTGGCCTGGTCTGGGCTGGTTCGTGGTGGACGGGACGGGAAGTTTGGAAGGTTGAGTAAGGTAGGCCAGTCGAAAGACGGTCGTGGTGGTGTGTTTAGTGATGATTTGGTGATCCACCCCCCTTCCACGGCCGTCGTTCCAGGCCATTCAATTGGAGAGATTGGAGGTGGGAGGTCGGGTCCAGGTAGGGTAGGGTGAGGATACGCCGGCATGCGATTCTCCTCAGGTTGAGAGGCATAGAAGTACGGCGAACGCAGGTAACCCGGTATTCGTGTAGGGTATCGAAGAAGGGGGGGGGGGGTGGCTAAGGTGAAGAAGACTTGCTTGTATCCGTTCCGTGACGGATGGAGTAGCTGGCTGCTGCTGTTGCTGCAGCTGTGGTGGGGGAGACTGGGAGACAGAGAGAAAGACACAGCCATGCTCTAGGCCCTAAGCCCTTTCTTCTAGTCGAGACTTCAAAGTCTCTCCAACCTCCAAGTCGTCGTCTTTACTGTAAGTAGGTACCTCTTCGCCGCCTCGTAGGCGTATCCGTAGCTGAGATGCTGTCCGATAAACGGCCCAAACAAGGCGAAATTAACAAAGAGAAACCGCGGTGGGATGCCGATGAACAGAGGGCGTTCGATAGCCGAGAGATACACCCAAGAGCCCGCCGGTCTGTCTCTCCAATCGCAAGCGCCTTTAGAGACTATGGACGGAGTGTGTTGGGCGCAGTCTGGTCGCCACGCAGTGTAAAGCAGGCGTCCCGAGCCCCTGCCTCAAGAGTCAAGGCACAGACAGACATGGACAAGCAGCCTGAAGCTCAGGATCAGACATACCGGTAGGTAGTGTAATTGCCTACGGATGGATGGAGGATCGAGTCTTTGAGAGAGGCACGGAAAGGTACCACCGTCCCGACTCCCCAGTAAGTGGGACGCCGATGCAGCGGTCATCGAGACTCTGGGCAGAAAAAAAGACATTCGAGAGCAGAAAAACGGCAGCTGAGACGGAGCACTAGCAGCAGACTGCCACTGGTCAAAAACCCCGGCCATGCGCCAGGCCGCTAGAGACATGTCGCCGGGCTGAGGGGCATCGCTGGGCCTAGAACGAAGCTGGACGATGGATCGGCGTGCCGGGTACCCTTGCCACATTGCTGAAAATCTGTAGCTGGGCATGAGGAAGCCTGGAAATTGTTGCTGCATAGTCATACAGTAAAAATGGGCGGTAGACGGGCAGCTCCATATGATCCCGTCGCCTCTTGTTCTCTTGGTCGAGTCGAGAGACAGAGTTGGCTGCTCTAAACAGGGAACGAACGGGTCAACGGGCACGGTACGTTGTTGAGGATACGCTTCTTAGCAACCCTGGCGTAAGCGGGTGTCTCTGGTTCTAGCGTGCAATGCAGACATGCAACGACCTGCAAGGTTGCCATCGCCTGTGTCCTGATCGGCATGGATAATGGAGAAAGGCTCTGTTTCTTGTCCGTTTCCTTCGAAGCCTAAGCCGAACAGGACTTCGACCGTCCTCGCTTACGAATTAGCGCTGAGGTGGAGTCCGGAAAATTTGTTCATTGCTTTTGCGTCGGGAATCTTGATGTCTTGACGTTGCTTCCTTCGGGCGTGTAATTCTAGTGAGTGCGTGCGTGAGCGCAAGGAAGGGCTGGCGGGCAGGCGGAAGAGCCCAACTGTCTAACAGTCTCCGTGCCCTGGATAACGTATGTGTGTGTGTGTGTGTGTGTGTGTGTGTGTGTGTGTGTTGTGTGTCTAGTCTATGTGTCTAGGCATGTGTGTATGTCGTGCTGTTGGGCTTGTAGAGTTAATGTGCGATGAGGGAACCAGTGACGGAGCTACGTGACCCTTGTCCAAGATCCCGAATACTTCCCACAAGTAGTCAATAACCGAATAAGATGGACGACAATACATAGTAAGTGCCGTCGGTAGCTTGCTTGGGCAGCTGTGCGAATACCTAGTACCTACATAGATCCGTCAGCAGCACACCACCACCCGCGGCCAGGATGGCCGGTCATGATGAAGCACCAAGCAAGCTAGTCACGCACAGATACACGTTATTATCTTGTGGCGGATAGGCATCCAAAGGCAATAGTCCAAACTCGAGGCACCCCAAATCCCCAACGTGAAGTGTAAAGGAGACGTGAGGGCCAGGTAGCTGACCCTGCCCTGCCTTCATTGCTTGGCTTGGAGGAACGAACGGCTTCAAGCGTTCCCGGCCAGAGACACTTCCAAAAATACACGGCATGTCTATAGCGGACTTGTCTCCAGAAACTCAGAGACAACCCACAGTTTCTGGGGCTCAGCGGGTGTCACTAAGCGGCCTCGACTGTACCTAAGCCTGGAATTCCCCTGGCCCGTTTGATCCACTCAAGCTTCCTCTAGCACGAGCTGTCCCCGCCGTCCGAATGTGATTGTGCAGAAAGCCGGCCGAGCCATCGCAAGACTGCAAATCGTCTTCCAGGGTTGGAGGATGGAAGGCCAAGATGAAGTGGAAGGAGTGGATATGGCATGGCTTGTGGTGGGCCAGTTGCATAGTGCCTGTCAAAGATTTCCCCAACAAACATGAGGTAAGGTGGTAAGGTACCCCATCTGTAAGGCCAGTTGTGGAAGCCGATTCGAGGTAACTGAGCAGGAGCCTGTCAAGGTCGGGAGATGCGCAGCCAGTGAAAGCCACGCCTAGAGTATCTTCATCTCCAGGGCCTGGAAAAACTTCGTGTTGACCACCTTGATCTATTGCAGGAGCATGATGGGGCCGAGGGGCATGCGACATAAATCGTTGACGTCCGTTAATAAGAAATGATTGCCGCCCTGGTGTATCCGTACACGAATAAGCAGCGAGAGGCCGTCACTGATGATCGGTAACCCCTGAGAGGAGCTTCAGCCTTCGAGCTTCAACTACCTCCTAAACTCGAGGAGGGATGCTCAGCACAACGACGTCCGGCTGAAAACCAACAATTCCTCGGCTGAACCGTCCGGCCGGGAACTATCCGTACCGCTTGCGCGATTGTGTTTGGGGCGCCGCAGTGGCGGTTGAGGCGAATGTTGTTTTTGGTTTTGGTGTCGTTGTGGTAAAGTAAGAATCCGCGCCTACCGCGTGCGCGCGCCGCGAAATGCGCGATACGGCAATCTGTACTCATACAACATGCGCTTCGCGGCATCTGTTATCCGATCGTTGCCAGGGCCTGTCCAAATCTCGGAGCCTGCCTAGTCTGTCCGGATCCTTTAAGCATGTCTTGTGATTCCGGACGGTTAGATGTCATGGGCGTCATACGTCTCGTGGTGGTGGTGGTCGCGCTGATCACTTTGGGCGCGGAGTGTGGTCCGAAGTCTCCTCCTCGCCCACCGCATTCCCGTTACGTGTGACGGCGCCGGGTCTGAGAGGAAATAAAGTACGGATACGTCCACTTTCCCATCCCGTCTGAGAGTAGGCAAAGTCTCTCTCACAGACCATTGACAGGTCCAACCTTGGTGCCAACGCATCTCGGACTGTGACATGATCCTCACCTAAGCAACTCAATGTGAGCAACGGGCGAGCTAGTTGTCGCCTTGCTGCATCGCACGTTCAGTCACTAAACCCTTCCCTGGATATCTTGCGAGCGCCTCAGGCTCAGGCCTTGTGCCGGGTCGTCCTACGTACTTCTTGCTCTCGCCTAGCGCTGGGCTTCATGGCTTTCTGGCTTTCTGCCCTTCCAACAACCAGCCAAGCCAAGCCTCCCTTCATCCATATTCCTTTGCTTCATTCGTCGATCTCTAATCTTGCCCTGGCCCCCAATCATCTTCTTCGGCAGGCTGTCTCACCCCTAGGGCGTGCCCGTAGAGAGACGTCCTTGTTCCCGACAGATTCATCGTTCGGATCCAGTTGCTGCCCAGGTGGGGTGGATGGGAAAGTTTGATCGATCCCTTCCCTTCATTTTCGACATAACTCACCGGAGCGTGAGCGTGTACCATATGACAAGCCGGTCTTGTTGGTCGATTGATACTTGGTAAATACGGGAAGAACAATAGCCGCATCCCACGCGTGACAAGCCCCTGAGCCCCCGAGAGAGGTAGGTCGCAGGGTGTCCATCGCAGGTTCCAGGGAGCGTATGGTTGCAAGAGGCTATAATACGGTTTGGACGGCATGTTCCATCTCTCGTCCCATACTCTGCGACAATCAATCCAAGGTCCACATCCATTCTTCCCTTTTATCCGCCGAGAGCATTTGCGACGAATTCTCGCGCTTCTTCGGGCTCCAGATTTGCCCCGCGATAAAGGCTGTGCATGCAGGCAAAGTCAGTATGCTAATTTCGGCCTCAACTGTTTCTGTCTCTAGAGAGCGCTGGCCACTGCGAGCTTCTAGTCCGACTATCCGGCACCGCCTAGAGCACCAAGACCATTCATTTCGTTTCAGCGGCTATTGTCCGCCGGTGGGATGGGTACCTATTTGGTTGATTCTGTGGACGGACGGGGTTCCGTGACCGTCTGGCTGTTCCCGAGGAAAAATAAGGTAGGTCGGCTCCGTACATTAGCTGACCTTTGTTAAGACAGATCGTGGGATTGTGTGAAGGGCCCGATCTGGTCTCTGGCAATCGATATTTCTCCGGGCCTTCCAAAGCGCGTCTGATTTCGGTGGCACCAATGGCCACCAATAGATGCCAAAGTTGCGGATTAGTGATTAGTAGGAAATAGGAGTCTCGACCGCGCTGCTGAGAGCCTGAGACAATTTTGTCGCTGCCGGATCGGCCAGAGCTGCTTTTTCCTGCAAAGCGGGACAAGGAACACGGCTTCCAAGATCTTGGCCAGACCTCGTTCAGTGTTATCTCTCCAGCACCACCAGTTGGCCAGCCGGCTCCAAGGGACGCGTGCCGTTGACGAAGGGGCATCCTTGTGCTGCACGAGGTAATACCTCGAAAATAGCAAGGCCTTGAAACTGGCCAGCACGACATATCGGGTCGTAATAAAGTAAGTCCCCACGAAAGCCCCCTCAGATTCAGTGTTAGTGGGGTCCAGATGCGGTCCGTTGTGGTGGGAAGCTCGCAAGTCGGCTCCGAGCAATTCTCCTAGAGTCCTAGGAGGGACTCGGGAGGGCGTGGTGCACTGGCGCGCACCGAGACAGCCGACGAATCCAACAAACGGTGTTGCAAGTCGACGAATGGACCGTCAAATCTCGAACCTTGGGTGTGCCGCAAGTTCGGTTCCGGCATCGGGTTCGTATATTGTATTTGTGCAGTGCTAGTTCGAAACGCGTTGGGGAGGGGATGTAATTCCAGGATCCGGCTTTGGGCCAATGGGCAAGCTTTGGAACGATCGCAGCGCGGCCCTGACTTTGCGGGCGTCTAAGCAGTGCCAGACTGCCAGTGTGAGTGAGCAGAGGATTCGACCCGCAACTCGGCCGAACAGGCTTTATTGGAGCTGCGGCAGCTATTATGCAGGTCGTACTCCGTATGTATGTGTTGGCAGCGGAACGAGGCGAAGTGAAAGCCGGAATAGAGCATCTGAGATCATGGATGGGCGTGCAGTAGGCTCCGTCAACGTCAAAGAACGGAATAAAGCATCCCTCATACGACAATTGCCGCGAACAGCTTCGTGTCGGTGCAACGAATGTGGTACGTACCTCTCAGTCAGCTCCCCATGTCAAACTGTGCGAAGGGACGAGCGAACGGTTTGAGCGGGCGAGAGGAAGGCATTACGTGTTGCGGCGCAACAACAGACACAACGGAAGAGAAGAGTTCGGGATTGGAAGACCGAGAACTACGATGTAGGTACTCCATACTGTGGTGAGGTAAGGTGAGTTAGGGCTCGCCGAATGACGATCGACCAACAGGCCCCCGGACGGGACAGCAGATCATCAGTCGAGTTTGGTGACAGAAGGTTTGGTTCCCGCGGTGCTGGCCTTTTTGACGCAAAGCTTCACGATGTAGCGAGGTTGTCAGTCTCGGCTCAGGCTTGCCGAAATCGAGGAAGACCTGGCTTGGATGTCTGTAGGTCATGTCTGAAGCAAGAGCAGATGCGATGTGGTTGGTGGGAGCGGGATCTCGAAGACATCGGACGAGGATTCGGAGGCAGAAGTGACGGTAGCATTGTAAGAAGCAACGGCGAAGCCGCGAAGCTGATACTCGGACCAGCATGCTTAAGCTTGCAGCTGACGACGTCTCTCGAGTCTCGAGGCTCGAATTCCGAGTACTGTGTATGCGTATGCGTATCTGTACTCTGTGGGCTGGACACAATGAAGGGCAGCAAAGCAGGCTGGTGGGCAGCGTGCTGGGTGCTTGCTACCGACGCCCGTTGAGGCTGCATGTATCAGGTTGACAAACTAGGGAAGTAATTGACAGTCTTCAGGAGCTCGAGTGCTCATTGAGCTGATTGGCAGGGTAATCTGGAGAATTGTTCTGGAACTTGAAGGGGTCCCTTGCAGCGGAGGGCATCTTGGCGAGGTCGCCAGTCGAGACAGGCAAGCCGCAATTGTAGTGGTACGGAGTAGGTCGAGTCGAGGCGAGTGTCTTGTATAATTGCTTTTGGTGATGCTAGGTCCAGTGCGTTTGACATAGAAAGCCGCAAGAGAGTGGAACGATGGCAATGACGTGTGGATCTCGATGAAGGGGATTCAGTGTCATTTCCGAGTTGGCAAAGTGTTGTCTCCGTAACTAAGGTAAGGTTCCTTGCGGAGTAATTATTCGTACGAATAGTACGGACATGGAGGAAATTGAGGGAAGCCATTGGAATTCGGGGAGCCTCTCTGCCGATGCTGTGGGAAGGTACAGAACGACTTGGACCTTCCATTTGGAAAGTGGTCCACCTCATTCACCTCGGGCAGGGGCCGGCCGGAGACAATTCCGTCGCACAAGGCAGGCAGTTGCAAGCCGCAGTGCGCACTTGCTGCAGAGGCACAGAACTGAGATGGGAAAGAAAGAAAATAAGCACCTTCCACCGGGAAAGCAAGGAGCAGCTCGCCTAGATCCCAAGTGAGACTGGCGTTCTCGCTTAGCACTTTGAGGTGTCTACAGTGAGGTTAGCGCCACGGGAGCCCCGAACGTCTGGCGCTGACAGAGCATCGAGCCGGTTTTAGCGCACTTGAAGCTACCGCACTCAAGTGTCTTAGTGGTACAACCTACAGTCTGATTGGACAAGCGCCGGGAATAAGGTAAGCTTCCACACAGATCAGACACCCAACCTCCGTCGGTTAATTCCAGGCAACGAACGACATGATGGGAAAGTATTCCCGCCGACGAATTTTGGCCAGTTGGTACCAGGGCATTTTGACATTCCCGGTCCCTTCCATTCCATCCCCCGAGTTTCTGCCTACACCTCCAAGTTCCAGGCTTCCAGCCCCCTCTCAGATGGAACCTGACCGTTCCGCGTCAATTCATCCTCCATGACGGGGGAGTAAGGTAGCCGTACGGATCCCATACCTTTAGCAATTCTGCGCTTACTGTGCCGCTCGCATACACAACAAGATTAGACTCATCCCTACCTTACCTTACCTTGGAAAGACAATACACACTATCTCTTCCAGTCTCCGTCCCTTCCGACGTTACCTTATCTCAAGAACTTAAGCTCGTCGCCTGCTCGAACCCCGACCTTGCGCCGTTTGAACTACAATCTACAGGCCTCCCCCCGGTCTCTCGAGCGGTAATGGACAAATCGTAGAGCTGTATCCATACCTTACTTTTCTCCTTCTAGGGGAGGGTTACTTTCGCGTAGATTTCCGTTTCGCGGAACAACCTCAACCACCTCACCACCAATCCAAGGCCCCTCGTCTTCAAGCTCCCAGCCCCTCGTTTGCTCGCTCATTCGCGCGCAATCATCAAGTGCTCTAGTCAAACGTACTTTGGGTCATGTTGTCGTCGTCGTCGCTGCTGTCGTCATCATCTTCTTCATCGTCGTTGTCGTTGCCATCTGATGTCAATGCCCATGGTTCGTGCTTTAACACCGCGGCGCAAGAAGACAAGGCTCTTCGCAAGCTTTGCTTCTAAGTAAACCAATTTCAACTCTGCCAGTCACGCCACCTACATTCACACAACCTCTCCATCTCGGCACATCGAGCCGAGTTGCCGTCCGAGTCGCGAATCTTGGATACGATCAGACAACACGGCGGCGCCATGGTTCAACAAGCGCAATCCGATTCTCAACCTCAGCGTCGATCAGCTGCCGCCGACATGTCCGTTGCCAACAACACCAGCGCAAGATCCCAACACCCATCAAAGAGCCCAGCGCCACCTCACGATGAGGCTCAGGTCGCCAAGATCCCTCACTTCCTCCCTCACGAGCGTGTCTTTCCCATACAGATAGGCAATGAGCTGTTTAAGCTCTCCGGTGCATCCATTTCATCTGATGGTACGTTCCTAAATCCCTGCCGTGCCCACTTCTCTCAGTCCTGTCTTCTGTGTAATGCGAAGTCGCCGCCCGGCGTTGCGCCGCGATCCACCGCGATCCGCGCAAGGCGCCCAAGACAAAACACCATGCTGACCCTTCTCCCCTGTCTTCAGCGCCGTCGTACTTCTCTCAGTACTTTTACTGCCAGGTCAAAAAGGCACAAGAAACCGGCGAGGACCTCTCCAATGCCATCCGCACCTTGTACATCGACCGCGACCCCCAGACCTTTGCCGACATTTCCCTCCACCTCCAAGGCTATCATGTTAAACCCCGAGACGGCACGCACTTTGTGCGACTTTTTGCCGACGCCCAATTCTATAGCTGTGCGTGCTTGCTGGATTCAAGTCCTCGGCGTTTACGACTAACACAGCTCTGGCAGTGCCCAAGTTGATATCACAGCTCTATGAGGAGTCAATATTCATCTCCATCGGCCACCGCGAGTTTCAGATCCCCCGCGATATCTTCACCGACCCAGGCAATTCGCCAAACTTCTTCTCCCTCGGCTTCGCAGTCTTCTTCTCGAACCCCGAAGACCTGTTCCCCGGCCTTGACCGCGAAGGCCTCCTCCGCCCGCCCTCCATCCTACCGCCGTCCGTCCCGAACCGCTCCGCCGATACCTTTGCCGAGATCCTACACCTGCTACGCGGATACCCCGTAACGATCCGTAACGAGTCGCACCGCGCCGAGCTACTACGAGACTGCCGCTACTTCAATTTCAAAGGCCTGGAGCAAAAACTCATCCCCCACCACATCAGCCATAACCAGAGCCGCCGGCGCGAGGAAATCCTCCTACGCCTCGAAGACATACTAAAAAGCGGCATCAGCGTCGCCGCAGACGTCTCGGCTTCCCCCGCCGACCACCTCTCCGGCTGGGTAAACTACGCCCGCCCCTACGTCGACGACCGCGCGGCGGAGCTGGTCCTCGAAATCGGCGGCGAGAGCACCCGCCTCCACTTCCACCACAGCTCCGGCTCCGTCCGCGCCGAGTTCTTCAAAGACACCCGCGCCCGCGTGGCACGCCTTTTCGAAGTCGTGGCCACCAAGCTCAACCTCCCGCCGACGACGCAACCCCTAGGCCTCCTCATGGCCTCGGGCGGCGCCGGCAGCCAGCCCCCGACACCGGGACACACCCCGCTCAGCGAGGACCTCGTGCGCGTGTCCATCGACAGCGACACCTCCATCACCCTCGACGGCAGACCACACACCCTAGACTTTGAAGACCTACAGCCCACCACCGCCAACAACAACAACCCCATGTCCGCGGCCTCGAGCACAGCCGAATCACCCACAGCAACGACAGCGTTCCAGCCCAACTCGCGCAAGAGGAGACGGGTCGACTCCCACGGCTTCGCGACGGCCGCAGGCCAGGGTCAAGCGGCGCTCGCGGCCGAGGAGTGGGTAGTTCGGACGGGCCAATGGAGGCTCAAGATCCAGGGTTCGCGCGGCGGAAAGAGCTCCGTCGAGTGCGTGCTCGTCGCCGTCAAGCTCGACGCATATAGCTCGGAGAATG